AGGAGTTAAAACAAAGCACAAGCATCATTCAGTTTAAAAGGATGTACAGAAACACTTTTTTGAAAAACTATGAGAATGAAGAGAGGTGATTGAAGATGAGAAAGTATTGTATATGTATGTATAAATATAAATGTAAGTAGGAATAACTTGCATAGTGATTTTAAAGGACAATCATTGATAAAGTAAGGGGTGGGTATTAATAACCATTTGCTTCCTCCTACTCCCTTTCGGACACATATGATTTGTTATTATTATTAATATGAAGACTGTTTTTTTTTTTTTTTATGAATATACAGATATTACCATGAATGTGGATGGATACTGTATTTTAACAATGCGGTATTCTGTTTTTCACATTTGTTATTTTTTATTTGTTATTTTTTAATCTGTTCGAAATAAAGAATAAAGAAAGAAAGAAACGACATTGACACATCACGTGCAAATTATGAGAAACATTCGTCTTCCGTTCAGTTTGGTGCATTACTCCATAAAAAAATAACTGCATTTTGTGATTGCTATTAAAAGAGAGTGTGAATAACTGTATATGAGCTGGGAGACGAATGACTAATTTCTAATACTTAACACCCATATGAAAGACAACTCGCACTCTCGGCCAAGGGCAAACCAGCAATAAATTAGCCAGTAAAAGGAATCATATCTGCTTTTATGGCTACAGGCTCTTTTCATTGAGCAGCCCTGTCATAGCAGTGACCGTACACACATGTGAATTCCCTTTAGCAAATACCCACGCATGTTGAGCCAGAGTGTGACACATCCAAAAGTAAGAAATTGCAAATAGATTGCTGTGGTTTGTCCTCAAAATGGCATCTCTCTCAGAAAGTGGGTTTGGAATAGTTTCTATCTTCCAATATCGTTGACTGATACTGACAGTTGCATTGAAACGGACAACACATCTTCCCGTGCAAAACAAAACGTCAAAAAAGCTCATGAAGTCAATGTCACCGTGTTGTGTTTCTGAGTCTACAGCAGCAGCTCTCCCTCTGCTTTTCTCTTTGTTTGGAAATAATGTGGAAACTGTCATAATGACCAAGGCGTTGAAAGTGACAAATCATTGTTAACCTCAGGGTGGGTTAAGTATGAGGTGGGCGTTTGATGGGGTCTCATTTAGTTATTCGCGACACATATATATGAGGTGCCCGCCTATTCCACATATATAAAGGGGAGAACAATAGTGCAGCAACACAGAAATAAGCAACCACATGTTGGGTGTTATTAATCAGGATAACGACCAAATGGCCCCTTTACTTAAAGTCCTGTTGTTATGTGTTTACTTTGTCTAAGATAAATCATTGTTTACAGTCAGGGATCAATGGGAATACATGTCACCAGGTATGTGTTTTTCTGCAAAAGAAAACCTTCGCCTTCAGGCTATACTGGGCAAAACTGTTGGATGGTTGCCTGGTAACGACATAACTAATTGTGTGCTCTGGCTTTCACAGTAGAGCAATGTGTCTTATCCTGTGATCATCCTGCAAACCTTTTTCCTTTGCTGAAAAACATATTCAAATGGAAGAGTCCACAACTGCCTTTCAGATTTTAAATGAGCAGATTTGATTGCATGCCTTTGCATGATAACTTGTTGAAATGAAACGCTGCATTTGAACATGAATCGCACAAACCTGAAAAAAAATGCAGCATAACTTTTGTACAGCATCGCTCGAGTTTCAAAAGAGGGGTGAGCCACATATTTCCATTGGTGAGTTGGCAAAATTAAAGGACAGAGTAATTAACATGAATGATTGTTTCTAGACCTTTAGTTTGAACTGAGGTGATATTTGACTTTATGCAGCAGCTGATTGAAAGGACCTGTGGGACGGTTGGCAGCATAGCAGTAAATGTCGCAGATTCTTCACTTCCAAGATGGAGTACAGCCTGTAGCTGTAGTCCTAAATCCCACACCCCACACTTCTTTCCAGTTCTAATAGCCTTGTTGTTGTTTTTGTTGTTGCCAATTACTTTTACTCCTTGAATTTTTTTTATTTAATTAGATCAAAGGGTTTGATCCCCAAAAACAAATTCTAAAACTTTGTATATCCTAGTTATCAATATGCTTTAGATTATGAACAGCCAACACACTGAATGGTGCAGTCATCCATTAAAGACAGTTATATGCAAATATCTGTTTAATGAAATAAGTGACAACACTTTTAATTGATCCTAAAACTCCAACTGTATTGATATGTAGCACATTCAGTACAGCACCATTATGATTGTAACACTTTTCACTGCCAGGGACACCCGCATGACTTTCTCTAAAGGGATCAGAGTACCCGATCGTTTATATGTGTCCTGAAGCAGAAACTGTTCACTCCTAGACACTGACCGCTTTCTAACCTTCGGGCCAAGCTGCCATCCGAAGTTAGATAGTTAAAGGGGGAGTCTAATAACTGGAGTAGTATAAATAACTCCACTCTTCTCTATGGTTTCTGAACAAAAGAGTAGAGCTGGTAAGTTGTAAATGGGGTGCCCAGGTGGCATAGGGGCAGACAGAGGATCCTCCTGCTAGGCCTGGTGTTTCAATGAACTTGGTTTTATTTCTGTATGAAATACTTCCTTGTGTCTGCCTTAGTGACACTTGGACTGGTTGTCAGGTGTGTTAACTGGTGGGAGGGAATCTGGAGCAGAGAAAAGCTCTGTACTTCTCTCCCAATGGAACCCCTGTCAGGTCAGAAAAAGGGATTGGTGCCTCTGCATGTGTCAGGTGAATCACAAGGTAGTTCTACACCCTCCTAAATTCACCAGTATGAGCTTGCAGTGACAGGAACTGCTGCACACAGGAGGTCATTTGGTGACAACTAAATTGAAACTTGATTTATAGGCGGAGGTAACACATCAACCTTTTTTAGTCAAGTTTTAATGTTCAGCACTTGTAATTTCAACCAAGGTACTAGTTATCTCACAAGATCTTTTTTTGCCTGCAGGATATTTTGATGTCCAATATGTTTTGCTCTAAACACAATTTGTCATTGCTCCTTTGAAGTCTAACAAATAATTTACGAAAGTCTACAAAAAATGTCTTCAATGTATTGGTTGTAGGGCTTTTGTGCTTGGTAAACGTGTCTAATGACAATGTGGCATTATTGTAAATATAGCATGCCTATAAAATGTTTTTACACTCAATAAACACAGTTTATACTTGTTTTTTTCAAACTAAGTAATAGTCAAACAGATAAGTGTGTGATGGCATTCTAAAACTGTGTTAACACTGTATTTGTGTTTCTTTTCGCAGACTGGCAGGAAAGAGAAAGGGGACCCATTGAACTCTGCCATTGACAAGATGACCAAAAAGACCAGGGACCTGCGCAGACAGGTAAGTGCAAGTTTCATGCATCAACTCCATCTCCCATTAAACACTTTTATCTAACATGTTCTACCAAGGTGTATTTACCCATCTCTCATGGAATTCGGACAAAATTCAGTTTTATTTCCCTAATGATGACTCAATTATTATAACAGGTCACAAATATGTACGTGCAATTTTAAAGGCAAAAGAATGTCCTCTAGCTGGTCACCGTAGTTTTAGGAAATGTTTCTCAAACAGAAGTAAGTAGTGTATTTGTTGGGGACTATTTTCAGCAGCAGATTCTCTCTATGCTCTAATGGGCTATTACTAACCTGATGTGCCAGATGGCTCGTTACACAGAAGCTGTCATCGGAAACTGTTTGAAAAAGGGCAGGGAAAATACTCAATCACATCAACCAATCTGATCGCTGTTCACATTTTTCAGAAGCATTGCACATAGACATATCAATACAATAGGTATTGCAATTAATAAAAAATCACAATACTAGAAAAAAGGTAATTACCCTCCAAGCAACCCCAAGTACTGATGAATAAGTACAGGATTCATGCTGTGATATGCAACATCAGAACTCAAAGCATTATAGATTTATTTTTCATATTATGAAGGAAAATATTATCTATTTTTCCACTGTTAGATCTTGCAGATTATGAAAATTGTTTTAGACACCATGCTTGAAAAGAATATTATATGATGCCTGTTAAGCCCCAAGGTCCCCGCCGGCGGGGACCCTGGGTTTTTTCTTTTCAGGACACCGTGTCTCAGGGGATCTTAATATTTAAGAACCTATTAATGTATTATACCAGATTAATGGAAATAATCTCAGCTAACTGACGATATAAACCATTTTTACCAAAACAAAACAAAAGTCTCATAAGAAGCATCTAAATGACCCCTTAGCGAAAAATGCTAACGGACATTGGCACAGAATTCAATCTTGAATTCTGTGCCAATGTCCGTTAGCATTTTTCGCTAAGGGGTCATTTAGATGCTTCTTATGAGACTTTTGTTTTGTTTTGGTAAAAATGGTTTATATCGNATATTATAGGTCTCAGATATATACAAACATGTCTCTGAAGTGTTTGGCTCCAAATACCAAACAGATCATGCATTGTAGCATCCCATAAACGCCTCTGTTTCAGCCTTGTTTCAAAAGTGCTGATTCTGTGTCTTTTACTTTGGATTAAAATAAGGAGCCACTCCCCACGCCCCTCTGAGAGTTATTTGGTTAAAAAGAACACAATGGTACTCTAGGAGGAGATTCAGGTGATAAGGTGTGTGTGTGTGGGGGGGGGGTTACCTTGGTTGGTGATTGGCTAATCACTTATGACATCATAAAGTGGCCAAAATCTGATCAGCTCATTTTCAGACAGGTTTTTATAGAAATGGATCAGGACAAAAAGAGAGAATCTTTTTTCCTGAAACTTTCAGAGTCTCTTTACACAGAGGGGACACATGTTGATGTAGAAGAGACGTGAACAAGTGGATTTTGCATAGTAGGTGACCTTTAAACAGAGACAGACTAAATGTATGGGATGAAGAGTCAGAATGTGTCTCACCGGGAGACGCTTCGGTTATTGTCAATACGAGCCTTGAGATCTTCATTCTGCTGCTGTAGAACCTGCACCTTCTCCTCAAGGAACACGTTCTTTTGGGCCTGCTCAAAAGTAGAATACAACCACAGTGTAATCTTCATTCACTATACCGTCATGCGCATGAGTGTGTTGAGTTTTTCTGAGCCTACCACTTTCTCCAGGTCCGAGATCTTTTTCTCTTGCTGGTGGATCTGCTGGTTCTTCATTTCCACAACCTCCTTTAAGCTCTTTAGATCTTGCTGAATGTGTTGGTATGGAGCCAAAGCATCCTGTAACAGACAAACAAATCACAGGAATAAGATAAAGATGAAATGGTGTTTAGAAGTATTGCAGTGCCTTTGAATTTCCCAAAGCCTGTGGTGAACTCACAACTATCTGTTCGTCTGTGCTCCTCCTCAAAGCTTCCTCAAAGCGTTTGGCTTTGTTCTTCAGAGTTTCGTTTTGAAATGTGAGGGTATCCACCTGATCCTGAAAAAGCATCCAAACACAATAACAAACACGGCCTAGAATACAGCAACCAAAAAAAGAAAAACCCAGACAAACAAACCTGTAGAGCAAGCCGGAGTTTCTCAAAATCCTCCTCTAGAAGCATCTTCTGTTGCTCATGAGCTTTTCTTAAGTCTGCACAGATTCAGAATAATAAAAGAGATTCAACGTTTCAAGCAATGCTCACTCCTTTACAGAAAAGAAACGCAGTTAATTTGTTTCCTCCTTCCCCCATCTTGTGATTCTCTCTTCATTCTTAACTACACTTTATTTTGCTCTCAATATTATTATTATTATTTTTGTTTAAACGGGCTCTAAAATCTCACCTCTCATGGTGCGGGCGTGCTCCTCGTGCAACGTTGCCATGGTGATGTTATGCATGTCTCTGAGCTCTTGAACGGCTGCCTGGTGGTTGACAGTTATTTCCTCCACCTAAAACACACACGTACACTCACTGATCAGATTTCACGTCAAGGGTAAAAGAAAAGTCTCCCCCGTGATGCCTTTCTTTCTGTCACCTGTTCTTGTTGCTGAGTCCTCAGCTCCTCCATCTCCGAGCGATGCTCCTCCTTCAGGTGTTCGGCCTCGGCTGAGTGACCCTTCCTGAGCCCCTCCTCCACGGCGGCGAGCTCGGCCTCCTGCTGCAGCTGCAGCTCAGTCAGCTCTCGCTCAAACGCCTCCTCCAGTGCCGTCTTCTCCCGGTGGAGTCTCTCCCAGCGCGCTGAGTTGGACGCTGTGTAGGAAGCAGAGAATCTCTAATGATGTTTTCTTATGAGAGAGGGCAGAATGAAGCACTTCAACGGTACACAACTGACGACAAACTACTACTACTAAACAAGGTAATGTCACTTTCATTTAAAATGTGGGATTTAACAAGATTAAAATACAAGAATCAACATGATGTTAACCTAATTTATATTTTATTGATGGTAGCCATATAATTTATAAATCTCTTTAGAATAAACAAAGCAGAATTAAATTGGTAGTCTTTCAAACTCTGTCAAAACAAATCACCTGGTGTTAGTGATATTGGAAACACCTGTGTGGTTCTCATTTATTTAGTTAAATGTTGGTTTTCTTTTCACTCACCCATTTCCTCTCTGATCATTTTCATTTCCAAGGACAATTTTCTTTGATTTTCTTTTGTGGTTTTATTCTGAAAAAAAGGATAGACAACATGTTCACAAAGTGTACCATCTATGCAATTAATTCTGGAGAGTGGATGCTGTTGTTCCCCCCTTTTTGTTCTCTCTCTCTCTCTCTCTCTCCTCACTGCACAGGTGTTCCTGGTCTCCAATTTTCACCAGTTTAAAAAAAGAAAGGCTGGAGGAAAGGAGCTGTCTCTCTGTTGCCTGACACTGTAGTCATTTAGCCTTAGTTTTGGCTTTTTATTGTGTCATGTCTTTTTGTTTTGTTATGCAATTTCCTTTTAGTTTGGGGGGGGGGCGTTCTGTGTCCTACAGCCCAGGCTTCCGCCATCCTTTTGTTCTTTTTGGCCGGACAGACTTGTGTCATCTGAGTTGAATTAAATAATGTCAGAACAATCTTATTGTTGTAAACTCTCATCAGGTTTTGCATTTTAAATACATTTTTGCAGGTCACAACCTAAGGCACAAATGTTGTTTTTATGCAGTGGCCATAGCATATCCCAGATCCTCCATACAAAAAGACATGACTAAATAAACAGCGAAATCCTAAATTAAGGGTAAATAACTGCTGCAGTTTCAGGCAACAGAAAGACAGCTCCTTCCTTTTGTACTAGTAATCAGTGGAGATCAGGAACACCTGAGCAGAGCAGATCAGGTGTTCCTGCAGTGAGGAGAGAGAACAGAAAGTCAGTGATTAAAATAAATAAACTCGTGCATATACTGCCTTCTGTCGTCTAAGGCCATACAGTAGCTGTTGAGTCTGAGGAATACCAGCAGAGGGAGCTCAAACCTACACAGACCTGCACTTCAACCAATCCTGCCTCATATGAATCTGCATTGTGGGCTGGTGGTTGCATCAACCAGACAATGACCATAAAAAAGGCAGACAGTCGTTGGGATGTCTGGAAGCAGTGTTACAGTTATCACACCTTAGAGGCGTAATCCTTCCATTAGACACATAAAGCTGGATGAAACCAGCTCAGTGACATACTGAACTCTGGAGGACCCTTCCCACAGTCACTCTCCTTCATGGTGCCGCTCGTGGACCCTGCTGTGAATCTCAACTGACCTCATGTTAAATACTGCATGTGTTCATGTATGTTTGAGTATGTGTTTCCTGCGATCCGCTCTGAGGAAGACGAAAGGTTTAGGCACTAATGTTCATCTACATAGTTAACAGAGTCACATTCAGACCAGGTAATTAAGAGGTTCGATTTGAAGCGAAATAGAAACATTATTATGGTGATTATGATATCTACTTCCCACTGAGGAGTAATTTACCATTTTAGGCCAATAAATAATAAAATAAAATATGTGATTTCAAAACATTGCAGGTGCCACGGTTATTATGGTGTAAGACAATATTATTTTGTGTCTGTATTGTATCATTGAAGATGGCTACCTTGAGGCAGTAATGCTGAGTGGTGATGATGAAGGCTTCTAGACCCAAGGAAGTCTTCTTCAGTTCTTCTCTCAGAGCTCCCAGCTGCCTCTCCTGCTGCGCACAGCGTCCCTGCAGCCTCTGAACCTGAACGAAAATAATAAAGTAGAATTCAACGCTGCAAACGCCAAGTGGAGTTTCACATGTTCTCAGTTACTGACCTCCTCCCTTTCCTTTTCTTTTTCTCTCTCCTCTGCTTGTCTTTCTCTCTCTTTCTGTTGAGCCTCCTCTTTCTCTCTCTGCAGGCTCTCCTGCTGTTCCTGCTGCGGCCTGAGGGGGGCCACGCGGAGAGGGGACCCCGGGGGAGCTGACCCCCGCACGGCTGCTGCGGGCCGCTGCCCAGACTGGACTGTGGGGAGGGAAAAAACAAACATAGAAAATTGAATGAAGTAAGAAATCTGTCTGCAAGAGCATGTTGGGATTGTTTTTCTATTCAAATCAGATAATATATCTCCCATATGTCATGAATTAGTCATGTTCTAATTCTAAAATCTAACCAGCATCTAATAATTCAATTGATGGGCATTAAATCAGAGGACATTTGACCTGACCTATTGCTAATGACTGTTCTCACATGATAAATGATAGCAGGTTAATTGAATCTTTTCTACAGAGCAAGCCTTTGGGGTAATTCTCAGTCTGCTGTTCCTCATGATGGACCACCTACTCTTGTCATGAATGTGATCATTATCAAGCAATGATTGAGCTGCGGCGTGTAATAATGTATAGACACTGTTCATTATATACATGCAATGTTGCACTATTTGTATTGTAATTGTAGAAAAACATTAGCACATATAAGTAAAGGCCCTTAATGATGGAGGTCATTTAAAGGCTAGTCAAACACAAACACGTGAAAGCCATTTTCCTTCGGAGGGGGCCCCACCATTAAGCTGCAGTTGACATATAGGCGGGCCTATTCACCTCTGTGTGAGTCACCTTGTCATGTAGTGTGAGCACATATTATAGCCTGCGGAGACACAGAGCTTCACCCGGGTAGAGGAAATGATTTCAAAATGTACCGTCTGTTTGTTCACACAGACTGAAAACGAGCCTGTGTGTGTGAGAGTGTCTGCACACACAATATCAGAACCTCTGCAGCTCAGCATCACCTGCCTGAACCGTATCGTTCAGGCCTATTGAAGCATGAGGCGCGGTCTCCATGACAACGTGAGGCTGCGCTTGGGGTGCAGGGTCCCAGGTAATGAGTGAAAGATCGCTTAGAGGGAGAGGTTGGGGGATACTATGGGAGGAGCGCTATGGGCAACGGGTGGGGGGATACTATGGGAGGAGCGCTATGGGCAACGGGTGGGGGGATAATATGGGAGGAGCGCTATGGGCAACGGGTGAGTGGAGAGACAAAGAATTGAGTAATAAATGGGGGAGGTACCTGAAGGTATGTTGGTGGTTTAAAGCCATATTTATGGAAAAGAGAAGAGCTTAAAGTACACATACTTGCAAGTACATGCGTGAAGGTAAAACATAAAATGTGAGCATTTTGCAAAAAAAAATCATAACCACGAAAAGACATAAAAAAGATGCATTGTCATAAAACCAGGCTTGCTGTTTTTTAATGTGCTCAACTCCTACTATAAGCAACTGTTCCAATATTTCATCTTCATCAGTGTCTTTGCCTTAAAGCCACATTAGGATTCCCCGTCTTTGAGAACGACTTCTAAAAGTCTTATGCAAAAGATGTCACACACACACACACACACACACACACACACACACACACACACACACACACACACACACACACACACACACAGATCTGTATGTTCTACCTGAAAGGTTAGGGAGAGTTGAGTGAATACTAAATGAGTGTATGTGACTGAGTGCGAGGGCAGCATGCAGATAACAGACGGTTTGATGAAGGAGTATTAATGATGCGAGAAATAATGGGAAGAGGCGATGGCAGTCCCTGTGTGGAGGAGAGAGCAGTCTGTGTGTGTGTGTGTGTGTGTGTGTGTGTGTGTGTGTGTGTGTGTGTGTGTGTGTGTGTGTGTGTGTAGATGTGTCTGTTCCTGCAGGGTGTGGTTACAGGGTTATTCCTGTCAACACATGTCCCTCACACTGTCCAGATTAGCTTCAAGAAAGAGTGTCTAACTTTCAATCCCTATCAAATCTTCCTAAACAACAGTAAAAAACACAGTGCTGAGAGTCATAAGGAATACAATGTTTTTATGTTTGTGTGGGAGGAAAAAAGGTCCAGCAAAAGATACAGCAAAGAAGACTGAAAAGTAACAGCTAGAGAGAAAAGAGAGAGGTGACGCCTGAGGAGATGTGTTTCAACTCTTCAAGGAAAGATGGGGAGGCCCTCTACAATCGTGTAAGAAAGTGATTTTACCACTGCCGAGCCAAGAGGAATAAAGGTGCAGACTTCATGGACCAAAGTAAAGATATTTGAAATGGATGCAAGCTGCTTCTGGGTGTGGCTTCAGGAAAGGCTTGGGAAGATGGACAGGTGGACTGGAAGAACAGGATAAAACGCATGTGTGTGCATTTTGTTTGATATGCATTCCTTAAAGACTCACCCGGGGACTGAGGTTTGGGAGGAACCACCGCCAGCCTCTTTGGGGAGGAGGGGAGAGAACGAGTGACCTCTGAACTCCGCTGAAACTCCTTCCTGACAACTGTCAATCAAAGCCAGAACAGACGGCAAAGTAAATACAGCAGTGACATCTTAAAACGCTACCTTACATTTAACATGTTGTCAATCAAACTTCCACCGACACAAAATGCAGCAAACCAGCCATCATACCCCGCCATCTCCTTGCTCTCTTTTCAATTTCTTTTGCTGCTTTTTCCCCTCTCCTAACTTTTCCCAATCTTTCTGTTACTCTCCTGCTTTCATATTCAGCTATCTTCCCCCCCTGCTGCGTGGTATAACTATGTCCCCCGGGTCTCTGGGTCAAAGAGAAGTTGAGCATACTGGGGAAGATGTGTGCCCATCACATCCCTGCTCTCTATGACATTATACACTTTGCAGGAAAGACAGAGAAGGTGGGGTGTGTGGGAGTAGTGAAAATACCTGCAATTGAAGGAATGTGTTACCCAGGAGAGAGAAGCAGATGATAGTGAATAAAGAAAGGAGGTTTTAGAAGGTTAGCAGGGAATCTGTTGTGAAGCAGAGATGAGAGAAGGAGAGAGGCCTTGAAAAGGAACTAATTAGACCTATAATGGGAGAGAAGCCTCTGATCCTGAACAAATCCCCAAATAACCCTTGAGATATACTTTAGGCCTGCATAGACTGTGTTTCTGTGTGTGTCTTCACTCTTTACTGTGCATGTGTTACTGTGGTCTTGCTAACGTGGCTCTGAGTGTGACTCATTTCTGCCACCTAAACCCCAAAAGTACTGCTATGCCACCATACTGTTACTAAAACCCAGCAAGTGTCAACTGTCTCAAACGTTTTCTTGAATTGGTAGCGTACTTAAAACAAACACTTCTCCAGAATTCTTTTGGGCAATTTGTACTTGGGACTGAGTACAAAGATTTGAAGCTGGGGTAAACAAAACATAAATTAACATGACTTCCAGCCACTCTAAAACGTTAGTCTGTTACAGTAACCAAATGTGAATGAACAATATTTTCCTATCTATTTGTAACAATTATCTCAGCAGTACTGATGTAAACAACATACGGTAGTTTGTTAAAGGTGGGGTAGGTAAGTTTGAGAAACCGGCTCGAGATACACTTTTTGTTATATTCCATGGAATGCTCTTAACATCCCGATAGCAATGAATATCTTAAGTGCTTTGACAAAAAATCCATTAAAAAAAGTCATCTGTGGAAGCTGTAGTACTGTAAAAAGCATGACCAATCATCTGAGCCGGCCCGGCTAAAATAACTGGATGGCCTACCTGCCTGTCAGCCTTCCATCTCTGCACAAACTTATCTCGTGCCCTCATTGGTCATGTGCGCGTTCGTGTGTGTTGGAGGAGAGGCTCTGTAAGGAAGTGGCAGATTTTTTCCGGTTGTGTATTTTCAAATTCTAGCGCACTCGAGCTGGTTTCTCCAAAATTACCTGCCCCACCTTTAAGGGCTGATTAATAAAACAAGACTTATAGAACAAACATGGCACTCTAACCCCCCTTCCCCCAATCCTGTTGCCAATATTTGGCTAAACATGTGCCGTTTGTTCTTAATTTATTATGCCCTTTGCAAACAAAGAATAAACAGTAACAGATTATTTTTTGTGTGTCAGGGGCTCAACAGGACACACGTTTCTGTCAACTGATAGACGTGTGTGCACTTGTCTAACAAACTGTGTGAGATTGTGCTGTATTGAGAAAGACAAACAACAATGGAATATAAAGAAAATATCAAAGTAGTGTCTGTGCACCACTTGCAGGTTGACAGGGACTCCTCATGTATTTCCCCATCAATAATTTACAGCACATTTAATGTCAGCTCGGGCCTACGGATACACAATGTGAGAGAGATGTTCTCTACACTGTCTGCATACCCAGCGTGGGAAACACGTCGAGAACATCACAAGAATGATCTTCACACTGTTCTGCTGTCTAGAATCCATTTTGTTCTGTTTTTTTTCCCGATGTATTCAGCTCACACCGCAGCATAAAGCAGAGTTCTGTGTTTTTTATTCAATAAGCTGCTATACAAGTTTAAAGACATGAGATAACTGTGAGTGAGAGAAGTGTGATACTACAGGGCCTCTGGTGTTCATTTCCATGTGTGAAGAATCCATATGTGTGAAAAGCATCACTGCCTGTGCGCCTCCTCGAGCAGAATGTGTCGCCATCGTCTACCAGGACAGTTGTGACGCCACAAGATCATACAAATGAATTAACAGCAACATTATTGACTGTGGGTATAATCTGGTTAATGTGTAGTGCTCGTGTTTAATGGTACTTCTTTATAGATTTCATGAATAAATGGCCTAAATACAAAATGAAAGTCAATTCCACAATTTCATGTATCTAATGCAGTTCAACAGATTCTAAAAGTGATCTTGTAAGTGAAGTCAAGTGTTAACATGTTAAGTTAGTGCCTTGAAACATTTCCCAAAATGACTTTCAACAACCCCCCAAAAGCAGGGGCTTGTGCTCAGTTAGGTACTACACTGTATATTGAGGCAGAAAAGGGCGGGAAAATAAAGGTTTGTATTTGCAGGAAGAACACTGAATGCCTCTTCTGCCATGGATTTCTCACTATTCAGATATTTAACATTTGTATTTTTAACAATAACTAAGCATGTTTTTATTTGTTTTCCAAGTACCAACAATAAAACATTATGTTTAATATTTACTTTTTTGAGACTATGATTTATTATAAATGAATATTCCTTTGCGTCTGAATACCAGTACATGCATAATACATCATGTATGGTTTGCTGGATATTAAATAGTTTACCACATATGTGAAAACAGCATGTGACAAAAGGACACAATCTGTTGCTGGTGGGAAATGCTCTCTCTCTCTCAGATAGTATTTGCATAAAGGGGTGAGTTCCCTGCAAGTCCCCTGTATGATTACATTTCATTGTTCCTGCATGAACTTGGTATTCATTTATGTAAAAAAAAACTATGCTGACAAAATCTAAAAGTGTAGAAAATGTCTAACAAACAAACTATGGCATTATTTGAACCAAGAATCTAGCTTTATTCTGCTTCAAAGGTCTATTACCACACAAATATATAGTGATAAATAGTGAAATGTATACCCCACAGTATATATACGTCATAATGTTTTACAATTAATCGTTGGGTTGTACTGCCAAAACTCCACTTCACTCAGACTATTACCCTAATGTTGAACAGATGACTTGCAATATACACTTTTACATTTTTAAACACCATACATGACAGAAAGCCAAATTCATACCACCACTGTACCATCCTTGAGTTTTGACAATTTAAAATCTTTTAAAAGTATGTGTTTTTTAATAAATGTTTACATGGACTGCCCCTCCCTTAGGGGAATTCATCCACAAAAACACACTGGACGCTGCACTACGTCAGAAACCAGACAAACCATAGACGGACCACCTTTGGACAAAATGTCCTCTCCATTAAAGGCAGCTCATTGTGGAATAGCCTCCCAACTGAGATACGGGATTGTCCCACTCTCAATAGCTTTAAAGGTCAACTAAAATAATGGTTGAGAAACAAACAGACGTGCACTCACCGCTAAATGCACTTTAACACAGGGGTATCTCCTCTTATCTTTTCTTGCACTTTACATGTCATAGCTGCTATATTGTACTGCCATGTGGTAAATACTTGTGTATGCTGCTCATGCTCTTTTGCACTTTTTGCATATCATGTATTTTGTTTTTGCTATGTTTGTAAAATGTAATTTTCTTAAATGTTTTATGTGAGGGGCTGCGGATGGAAATGAGCTCAAAGCTAAATCTGGCACTGCTACGCTTGACACATTTGAATGTTTTAAGTGTTCATTACTGTGCATTGTCCCTGCCAAATAAACAATTAAATTAAATTAATTAATATATAAATGTTGTCACCTGTTGCTACCTCATCACTTTATATGTTCACTTACTCTTTAGAATGCTGCTACTTATTTCCATGAATGTGTCTTCATCTTAATTTCTTTATGAACGTGTGTTTGCCTCTCTCTGTCATATTGCACTTTCCATTTGCTGTAACGCTGTGGGATGAATAAAGGACCTCTGATTCTGATTCTGACTGACCTCCAGGGGAGCTTCTTGGCGGGGCGGGCAGGAAGCGTCGGGGCAGGGCGGGGGTGGAGGGCGGCTGCAGGCTCTGGCTGCGACACGGGACCCCCCTCTGGTGGTCTGTGGACGGAGGGCTGGTGGTCACTCTGTGGAAGGGGGGCTCCTCGCTCACACTCAGACCTGGAATACAGAAAATAATTGTTGATATCCTCTATCATTTAGATATCAGTGTATATCTTCAGAGCTTATGTTCTGATTCTCTTTATCTGAATGGTCTCTCACTCATTTTCACATGTTTTTTGGGCAGTATCACAGGGCGGTGTGATGTCTGAAGTTAGGTCTACTTGTCTGATAAATGGTTTGTAACCTCTTGGTCTCTCTGCTGCTGCTCTCAATCTTCCTTTCGTTAACCTCAAGCAGCACACAAACACACAGTCATACACACATGTTTACCCACACAATGCTTCTGCACACACAAACAAGGTAGTATGCAATGCACTCACACAGAGGCACACTGCTCATCGCTCATCGTGCAGCTATAATCTATTTAATGACCAGCAGATAGTTTACACAATTGCAGGCACACACTCTCGCACACTGCGTATATCCTGCTCATCTCCGCCCGATCAATAGGGACTCAACAGATTGCCTGCACTTCTCCACCTCAGTCGTGTGACAGCAGGGGATGAACACATTTATTGTAAAGCTGCTTGTAAGAAGCAATGAGATTGGTGATTGAGCCGTGTAGCACAACCCCTCCACATCCACAGATATCAGTACACTTAAGAGGAAGGAATGGCATCGTGAAAACGTAGATATCAACAGTCTCTTTTGGCCTGCATTGTCTTAAGTCCATGAGGCGCTGAGGATTAGAAGAGAGCTGCGCAGCGGGGAGCCTCATTTATTCAGAGCAGCTTTGCAAGCTTTGGTGTGAATTTCTTCCGTGACCGGATCTACCTTTCTCCCTGAGCATAAACAAAGAGCAGGCACACTAAACACACATTTATAACCACGCTCTTTCATTTGCTGCATTGTACCAATATTGCTGTAAATAGAGAGTGGTGTGACATTGACTCATTAGGTTGCTATCAAAGAATAAGTGCTCCCACTGCAGAACTGAGAAACCCTGTGCCGCATTTCTGCTGCATGGCACGCCTCTACTCAACTTTATTGGCTCTTTTTTGGTTATCCATTTGTAGAATTGCCAAACAAGCAAAGAGAAAACTAGAAGGTGCAGTAAAAAAAACACCTTTTTTTTTAAGAATGCACATATTCAGTGCTCATTAACACAGTTGGCTTTTTCTTGATAAATGATATATGTAAGATGAATGGTACACACTGCAAATGTAGCCCAGCAGCAAGCAGAAGTGGTCAGGGAGAGCCAGGTATTGAACTACCAAGTATGCAATCAGTGGAGAGTGTGCTCCATCTCCTGAGCCACAGGAGGGGTTTGATTGTTGGGAATAATGATGTGCCTGAATCAACTGATGATTAAAATGATCAATAGGGTTTGCATGTTTGTGCAAAGTGATAGCCAAAATATTTCAGAATGCATAATAATTGGAGCATCGCGATAACAGCTCATAGGGTTAAAAATAGCAGCAGCATAGCAGAGCACTGTACTGTACACAACAAGACATTGATTGTGATTTGAGACTCATTTGTGTTGTAAGCCATTGAGCAGTTGAGCAGTCCAGAGTATTTCTAAAACCAAATCATGCGCATAAACATAGAATATACACCATCTTGAAGTAAAAAAGGTTGGGTTACTAATTTGGATTACAATATTTGTTTATGTACCATGGTAAACATTTGCCAGATAGATAGATAGGTAGATGGATAGATGGATGGATAGATGGATAGATGGATAGATGGATAGATAGATAGATAGATAGATAGATAGATAGATAGATAGATAGATAGATAGATAGATAGATTGATAGATAGATTGAGAGATAGATAGATAGATAGATAGATAGATAGATAGATAGATAGATAGATAGATAGATAGATAGATAGATAGATAGATAGATAGATAGATAGATAGATAGATGGATAGATAGATAGATAGATAGATAGATAGATAGATAGATAGATAGAGAGATAGATAGATGGATAGATAGATAGATAGATAGATAGATTAGATAGACTTTATTAATCCCGAATTGGGAAATTATTTTGTTACAGGCATTAAAATACTTAAATGTGGAAAAGAGTTAACAATTAAAAATAAGATGAAAGTGAAAAATAGTATAAACAAACATAAACAATATAAACAGTATACACAATTCTAGATATATTGTTTGTATTTTTTGTTTATACTATTTTTCATTTTATTTTTAATTCCCGTATGATATTTTATAAATCATACATGTTATGGTAATACATATGAAAATCAAATATTCTGGAAATGTGCAAAAAAACATATAATACTTATCTGCAATTTAATCTGTGTACAATAAAGTGTCTCTTGTGGATTTAGGGGATGCACAAGGAGTGGTTGCTTTAGATGTTCCTCAATGTAAGAAACAAAAAAGCTATTTAAATTGGCTGTTAAAAGATACCCCCTCATGTTGCTGCCTCACCGTATAACAGCCATGCATGTTACATTCCCAGAAGCTTCATTAGTAGACCCAGAGCTCCAGCGGGCTTTGATTAGTGAGGATGCTCTCAGTATATTCCCTCCTCGTGAACCAGTCCAGGTTACGGGCAGAGTGTCCAGGGCAGATTCTGGACAGAGTACTGTGCTATGACTGAGCTCCTCAATTACTGCTGTCAACATCAACACTTAGATTAGATTACTTTATTGTCATTACAAAAATGCAAGCACTGTGTAACGAAATTAAGGAGGGTCTAACCAGAAGCAAAACAGTCAGTTATATACACAATTATCAGAAGTATGTACGAAATAAATGATACGAAAAATAAAGGTAAATAGATGGGAAATGTATAAATAAGAATAAATACACAGATAATAATAAATACAGTGAATACAGAATTGCGCTTCAGCACAGCACACCACAACAACTAGGCAGTATGGGACAGCGTGGGGTTCATTGTCAGCAGTCTGACTGCTGAAGGGAAGAAGCTGTGCGTAGTCCTGGTTTGTTCTACCCACTGGTTACAGTCGTAGAGATGCCTTTTATTTTTTTTCGAAATTAGAAAAAAAAACTCAAATGCTTTGACTGGTGCCTCGTCTCTGAGTTGACCCAAATCTATTTGCTGGTTGATATGAACTGAGATGCGCTCATTAGTCATAGTTCAAGTATGTACCAAACAAATTCCCAGAGCAGCGAGACGAAGAGTAAACGATGGCGTTGGGCAGTCAGACAGACTAAATTGAGGAATGCTATGAATGATAAACAGAAGAGCGTTATTCAGTGTTAGAGAAAGGGAGAAAAGGGGATGTTTTTCATTAACGGTAAAAGCTAGCTGATATGCATCACTGATTGGCAAAATGCCAGCCGGTAATGGAAGAGCAGGATAGGAAGAGGGAAGGAAGAGGCTGGCTGTTTGGAATCAGTGTGAAGAATATAACAGAGAGGAGCCTGTGGCAAACTAAGCGTATTATAAAGACGGATTGAAAAACAGAACATATTAAAAAGGGACCGGGAGCTGTAGGAGAATCAGCTGAGGACAAAGACAGCAGGTTTCTCAGCTCAGTCGGAGGCCATATTGGAGCAGATGCACCTCACAGCAAAACCAATGCAGGTAGAATAATGCTGACTCTTATATCTGGGTCCTATACAGCGACGAGAGAGGGAAAAGATAAGTGTATGTGCATCCTTAGAGTTTCACTGGGAGTATATTAGAAAATGGCAATGTTTTTAAACATCACTTACATGAGTACCAGTTATAATTTGGTTTAAAAATAGCAAAATAAAGGCCTTTCAATTTCATTTTACTGTAGCATGGACCACTCTGCTTGTCAGCTAAATCAGCAAGTTCACATTCTGCAGATAAACACTTCTGCTGTCCTAAAGGAATTGATCATGCTGTAATTCATCCAGGTGGCAAACACAAAAGCATGACCACTTTAAAACTGGAGGTACTGCACAGACTGCAGTGCTGACATGTCAAGGAAATAACTCTTATTTCTCAGAAACACGAAGCCCCTGGGAAATAATGGTGTACTTTCTTTTGCACTGCATGCTTAAAAAACAGCAGCATCTGGTATAAATGGACTTATTGGGATATTTCATTATATCTAAGTATTATTTTAACTGTTTGTTTAAGGACACAACTGAAACAACTGAAATCATCTCATCCCACAGAGACACATTTCATATTTCTTTGAAGGAATATGAAAGCTTTTTGAAATAATGATATCATTTCGGTTGATTTTGAGGTCTAACTCTGAGTGTCTGTTTAATTAGTCCTCACAGACAGATGTCAGCTCCATTCAGCGCTGTTAAATAAAGGACACATTGTGTGTAATTAAAATTGAAGTTTGCCTTCATCACAGCCTACAATTAGTCCTGCTTATTAATCGTTGCTTCCTGTCATTCTTTTAAAGCTGCTTTAACTGTCTACCTGTCACTCTTGATACATCAATCATAATGTGCAGTAACTCGTTCCCTTATAATCCTGTCTTTTTTTTAAATTAAATTTATATACTCATCATGTAGATTAAAGTTTCTTGCCGTCATGACTCATGAGAGGAATATGGACATCTATAGTGGTGTGTGTGAAAGTCAAGGTTAAAGCCGTATATATAAAGCAATAAACAATGGCCGTGCAGAGACCTGGGTTGCAGCCGGCGAGATATATTAGATATACTGGAGCTCACAGCAACATCCAAAGGCCTCCTGTCCTCTGTCAGGACCCAGATGTCAGGAGATTAAAGGGTCAGTCCAACCAAAAGGGACACATAGAGTATTTCTCTTCTTATGGTCAATAAGAGGTTGATGTAGACTAGTATGAAGAGGCATTGCAAGTATGACATAAATCACATGACTTTTTCCCTTACAATTGTATTTTAGGATTTATTGTATAATCTCACAAGCTTGGAGATTAAGAAGATCCAATATCACTTCCTAAAATCTGCTGTGCACAATAACAGTATATCCTAAACAACAAAAGGCTTAGAGCAAGGGAAAAAGCCACAAAAGGATAAAGCCAGATCAGGAAAGAATGGAGGATTTATGGGTAAGAAGAGTGACCTTCTTTTAACTGGGTTC